ACTCGGAAATACAAATCGGGACATTCGAGACCCGATCATTACTCGATCCGATTCTCGATTGGTTGGGTTATCAGTATTTTCGAGTACTCGCTATTATTTGGGATTCCCGATATTAGCAGCGGTAGCTAGACAGTATCTCGTTATTCTTGCAAAGTTTCACTCAAGTTTCAAGCGAAAGATTGTTTTCTGATGCTGGTAACATTGTTACAGCTACATGAAGTAAATTAATATCAACAAAATTAATGCTTTCTACATTTTAATTAAAATGCTTTTTTCTTATTTAACTACATTTAACTATACGATTTTATATTTAATTACACGACACATATGAAACGCTTCTAAATTATTAGGTGTTGGAATTAATTCGTAGCGTTTTACAAGTGATGGGAAGTACTTTCATTAATGTATTTTTTAATGCTCATGTGAAATAAATAACATTCTTTCATTAAAAACGCTACGAATTAATTCCAACACCTAATAAAAAATTTTAAATCAGAAAAATTTTGTCCCCCAATCGAGTATCGAGTCCCGAATTTCGGAATAGAATTTCGAGTCTCGAATTATAGTTTCGGATCTCGAATCAAGTATTTTATCCCGACATTCAGGTACCCGAACATTCGGGACCCGACCCGATCATTACGCGATTCGACCCGAGGGTATCCGAATTTTTCGGGTATCCGCACACCCCTAATTATTTCTCATTTTTCAATGTAACAAATAATTAATAGTATCGCTAGCAAATAAAAGGCTCATATAGAAACCGTAGAGTCTCCAATCGTAAGAAATTGACCAATCTAATATTCTCCCTATATTTGACTGTGGTTGGTTAATTTCCTACAACTTAAAACTCCACAATTATCTATGACTATGTAAACGATCCTACAGTTTATCCAAAAGATAGGAAAAAATTAGATTCTATATATAATAGTTTGCTTCTATTAATAATAATTGGTTGGTATAGCAAACTAGCAACAATCACAACAAATCAATTTGTTGTTACATATTTACAGATCACTTGTTCAAGGTATTGATGATTTGTTAAATTAACAAAATCCTTTCTCTCAGTGATATTAAGAGATTAAAGAATAAATAAGATTAGTACGTTATTGATAGTTTGGGAAAAGTTTTTTGAATAAAATTAGTTCTCTACGCATTTTTCGTGACAAATTTAGAGGCGCGATGAAATTTTAAATAAAAATCAAAATTTAATAAATTTTCATGCATCGTAATGCTGTAATTGGCGTGTAAATTTTCGAAATATTAGAACATAACGGTGCAACGGTGTCGTTTTGATTAATAATTACAGCAACTTTCTGTTTTCAGTTAGAGTTCAGATAAAAACCAATGAAATATAAAATACATACGTATATAATTGTCTCCCCGTTTCCAATTTTCTGCCTGGCAACTCTGCGTTTTATTTTAACTCCTATTAAATCACTTTAACCTAATTTGCAAGAGCCAATGACCCCAACGACATTATTTCTTTTTTTTAAATATATATTTATTCAATTCTTTACGATTGATAAAAGTTGGTAGAAATTTCGTGTTAAGATTTAATCATAATTTAAACGATAAACTAATTCAATACGACAGATAGATGAGAAAAGTGTTGCTCTAAAAGCGGACGATTCCGTTTCATGTGCCGAGAGTTGTTTACTCATCTCCATGATGTGTTTGCGCATTCTCAGTAGAACAATGCTGTTTTGCCAAAATTTCCCTCCTCTTTCCAATAGGAAGCGAACGCGTCTGAAAATCTGCTTTTTACAATCAAAATACGCTTTTGAATAAGCATAAATGAAATTTGAATGATTTATCTCAATTAATCTTAAAAAGAGTCCGTTTAGTAAAAAGTAATTAGTGTAAATAGGTCACACATAACAATCCAATTGGCTTTGCACGGAATATGTAAAAACGTTAATTAATCTATTAAAGCTTTTTATTTTAATGATTATATACTTCAATTAAAACTTCATTCAAGTTGATTTTACGGCTTGTGGTCTACTCATAGAAACGTATATGTAGCGACAAAAAAGTTTTCCTCTCATTTCTCCGGTTGATATGTCTGCTTACTTTTTGCTCGCGAAAAGTTACGAACGATAGCATCCGCTTAGTATTATGTTGGTACGAAGTTTTTCGACTGCCGGCACGTAGTTGACTCGCTGAACAATATTTTCGTAGCCGGACAAGCCGATAAAAAGTACCGGGATACTTCCCGTAATTAACCACTATACGATGCTAGAAAAAGCAAAAAATCCCACATCCAACGACAGGCAATCGTACATTTGTGTCTGTAAACTGAAAAAAAGCCAATAGTAGGACAAATGTTTTATTTAGAACAACGCAATGTGGACGAAGTAGAAATGGTCAGTTCCAGGCAAGATGGGAGCGAACTTCGCCAGAACAGATTAATTTTCTATGCCATTCTCCTGTTGGGAACTGCTCCATTATCGATCCTGTTGCTGACGATGGTGGTCGTAGGAAGTCGTCGGTATAGTGTTGCGGGAGGTCACAGTTATGCAACAAATTGTGATAGGAAACACCTGGATATCCGAGTAAGATTGAATGAATTGCTCGGTTCTAATATCAGAAATAATACGATTTTCGAATTATCTATGCAAAGTAATAATCATAATAAACCTGATCTTTCTCGTAATCATGAAGACCATCCCAGCTGGCATCCTATTTCCCATAGACGATAAACGAAAAATATACACCAGCTGTAATTTACATTAAAATTCATAGGACACGCGTGTTCTCGCCGTGATAACATCTTCATGTGCAAATACACGTATTTCGCCTACTCTATATACACCATCAGCGAAAATTGCGAATGCTATATCACGCGGCCCTCGGGATTTTACGTATTTCGCAGCCAACGATCAATCGCCTAGTTCTCTGTCTATAAACACAAGAGTAGACATGGGTTACGAAATATTAATTTCCGAGAATTCCAGATGCAGCGTAGCACATCATTAAACCGTACGATGTAAAAAAAAAAGTATCCATAGAGTTCCGTAGTGGAATGTTCCATCATTGAATGCTTTCCATAAGTACATACAAAGCGTAAAATTTTAAGGAAGTTTGAAATGGACGGTGCGTTGAGCTGATTCAGCAAACGAGGAAAAACAACTGCATAAAATAAAAGTATAAATTATACTCAATGATAATTTTTAAATTTAGTAAAATATTCTCCACGCAACATTTTTGTTATATAAAAATATATGTTATATAAAAAATATGCTGCTATAAAAATTAATGTCATATAATATTTTATACATTATTTTAATTATATTATAAAAAAATTTAAAAAGTTCTAGTAAAAATATACATATATATAAATATATTTTATTTATTGTAATATCTATAATATATTTATTAGACTATTTTAAAATTATTTAATTTTATGGAACACAATTTGTGTAAAATAAGAAAAAAAAACAATGATCGAAAATGAATTCGAATGGCAAATACCGATAATATCGAAGACTATCTCGAGAAATCTACCGAAGTAGTTAAGAGCATTAAAAAAGATATAAATATATCTATCGTATCGATAATTCAATAAGCCGCTCGATATCTGCGACCATTAGTTTCTTCCTTTTTTAAATATCTACCGACTTATGAAGTAGCAATCTGTTTCAGTAATAACTAAAGTAAACGACTGGACGTGACGTCACTCGCTTGCAGTGCCACTAAGTCGGACGCAATGATATTGTCGAAGAATGAAGGAAATCGATATCTCTGAGGTGGACAACAAATTTGCATTTGCATTACGCGGCCATTACACATTAACGTTGAACTATGTTTGCTCCAAAAATTGATGTACGTCATGTTATCTTTATTTTCTACTTTCGTTTCGTAAACGACAATTTTAAATCCTAGAATGTCTCGATTAATACCATTTTGCCTCAACAAAGAGATTCGTTTAATTATGGAATGTTTTTTTTAGTTTCCTCGTGATTTGTGATGCAATTGGATTTTTATGAAATTTCAATAAAACTCCTTGATCGCATTTTTTTTTTCCTACGAATAATGAAAAATCGATCGAATAAGAAAAAACCAAAATTTGTGAATAGAAATTATCTAGAAATTATCTAGAAATATTGAATTCTATCGTATGCAGTAAGAAAGTGTTAGTTTAGCTAAATAAAGCAAAAAAACTTTAATGTAATTGCGAGTTACATTATCGATACTATTAACGTCAGTATTGTTCTAACTAACATCGCGAGCTAATTGACGTAGTATTTGATTCAACTAATTATCCGTCTTTGCGCCAGTGTCTTTTCGTGCTCGTCTCCGTTTCCTCCTAGCCTACTAATTACGTACAAATATTCTGATGCGCTAGCACTCCTTTTGTGTAAACTTATGCCTTCGTACACATGTATAGTGCTTGCGCAGATGGGAAATCGCACAAGCACAACTAGAGAAGCAAACATCATTTATGCACTTTGTAGTTTCGACTGACGCGTATGCTTGCTGATACTGATTTGTATGTCGTTGTTTATCGTACTATTACTGTGATTGCCATAGGTATATTACATACAATTTATGAATTATTTGTTTCTAGATATTATTATCACGTTAGCGAGATTAGTTTTTGTATTAAGTCACGGAGGTTTTCATCAGCGTGCAAATTCCAAATTCGATAATGCGTTTCTTATGTATGATAACTCACAATATATATATATATGCAAAGAGAAGTTGAAAGGATATTAATAATAATGTATTTAAAAAGTTAAAATATATTATTGCTCTAAAAAATATTGCATTAAAAAAGTTAAAAATATATTATTATATTAAAGAATTTAATAGGCAAAAAATTTGTAATTTCTTTTTTCTTTATAGTTTCTGTAGTTGACATATGATACCGCATTTTGACATAGTTCTGATTCGTTGGAATCTCATTACGTTCAGAGAATGAGACGCGAGGCGTCGCACTAAAGCGCGAACAAAATGGGTGCATGCGACATTATAATTAATTAATTACGTCTGAAACTTACCGATTGTGGTGAGCACTGTCAGAGAATAGAGAAACGCCTTTGCAAAGTTCCATTCGTATTCCGGCACACGGCGTTCCGTTACAGTTTCGCTGGTAGAACTCCCGGTGTATGTCCCGGCATTCTGGGTCGCCATCATGTCCTCCGTGATCCTTTTCACTAGTTGCTCTTGAAATCGTGCGATCTCCTGGTCGGCCAATTTCGTCCAGTTCTCACGGTAGAGAACGTTCAAATGCTCCGTGATTATCCATATGTTCTCCACGGTCTTCGTCCGGGCCTCGTGATTCAGCTTTCATCATACACAGCAAAAGTTATTAATTAAGCGATGTTTGAAATGTCGTCAGATATACCGTGGACTACATATATATGTTCGTCTTATAAGATTATAATTGACATACTGTCGATTAAATTAAACTCGCGCGCGCTCGTTAATTAACACACGTCAGGTGGATTTGAATGCAGTATGTTTCGAATTTTACATCTTGTGACAAATGGTGAACTCTGTGTAATTGCTTCGTTATTGGAACCGCAGAAAATTCAGAAGTTTTGGACAGACAAAAGGCAAGTTAATAAAACGCAATAGAAAATTGTTTTTTTTTTGTGGAGCAATGTTAAAATCAGAAGGATTATTTATAAAAAGAACACGAATATTCAATCGTTTGCCGATGAGCGATTGCTATCGAGAGAACAATTCGTTGTTGCTATTATTGGCCGGAAGCAACAGACAGCAGCCTTTGTGCCGATGTCCTCGGGGAATACGCTTTTCCTGTAAAGCGTAAGGATAGCAGAAAGAAAGCACAATCGATAAAACTTCGTTGAAACGAGCACTCGCGCCAGAACGCACCGATAATTCGATTGACTTCGGGTTCACTGAGGTCACCTCAGGTAGAAAAGCGGAATGAAACCGGAGACGTGACGATAAATCGAGAGCTGGTGCCGCCGGAACTGTTTGCTCCTAAAAACAAGTTCGTGGCTTACGTTCCCGACAACGGCAACGACAACTGTCATGCACTCATAGTGTATCGACAAATCTGTTTACTCTTCTCCTATCATTCTTACTTTTATTGCACTTGCTCGTATGTACACATCCTACACAGTTATTAAGAAATATATCTACGACTTTTTATGTTCGAAAAACAGTTTCGTCATATATCTTTGTTGAGTGGTCACATAACTTCTTATAGTCTATGATTTACAACTACATTTGAGCATAACGAGGATACTTCTTGAAAAGGAAGTTGCGCATGATTTAAAATATATACTCCAATATTTTTCACTCGCATTAAAAGAGTGTAGCGCAATATTTCTCAAAGAAAAGATAGCAAAATTATTACTAAAGTAAAATTTCTACTGAAAAGGATCAAGATACAGTAAATGTATAGAACAATTTCATCCTCTCACCTGTTTTATCCAAGCGCTGGTGTTCCTCCTGGTATGCTGATTTCCAGCTATCGTCGTGGCCAGAGTCCTCTGTTGCAAGCCAACACCGTCAATGGTCCCACTCTCGATAGCCAGAAAGATGAAACTGCCCAATAGGGTGTAAGCCACAAGAAGGGAGCATATTCCGATATTTATGATGAACCCCTTCAAGAAAGAATGCTGACTGGCTTTGTCAGGTACACCGCCGAAGCACAAGCATCTCACTTGGCGAGATGGGTGCGTCTTCGAACGATCCGACGTCGATCTCTTTAGAGATGAGGTGTTGCCGTTATTCGCCGGCTTGAAGCCCTCGTAAGCTCTATAATGTCTAACGTTGTCCTTCTCCATCCTCTCTTGTTTGTCCTATCTACAAAGTCACCGAGTCCTGTCGCCGTCAGTTTCGCGTTTATCGCCGGATATGTCGTCGTACGCGCGCATTTGCCATCTACCACTTATTTCTGGTGATGATGGAGTTAACAGCCGAAGACGAAAGATTCATCGGCTTTCAGACTTTGACGCATATGACAGAGTGTCAAAGATTTTACACTCTGTTATATGTTCGAGTGCGATCGCTAATTCGTTCACTGTTTGCTTACATTCGTTCGTTACGATTGCGCATAGAATTATCTCGGATTATCATATTTCACGATAACAAAGATTCTCGGCAGGAACGGAGATTTATAATAGGGTTTTCTTCGTACACGTATCCTCGAATCTCGTAGACTCAATCGCCACAGCCGCATGACTGGAGTTTCGTGCGAGCTATAATCTAAGGGACGGATCTCTCTTCACGTTTTTTCGACTACCACTCAAATTCAACCCCAACGTCATTCGACCAGATGTCACTATGATTTTCGTCACTGTCGCTTTCTTATTATGAGGCGCGGTCGAAATCGCTCAGCTGAATGATGTCCTGGGAGAATTTTCTGACAGCAAAGGGACGCTCGATCGTACATAGCGCGGGCACTTCCGTCATTTTTCCATAGCAGGATCGTCCTGGCTGGAATGTGGATTGGAATTCTATAGAGAAAATCGATGTTCGAAATATGTTCTATGATATTAGTTACCTCTCAGAACTCTTTTGTTGCGGACACTGATGGCTGATATTATAAAAATATTCTCTTGTAAAGGAGAAGATATTTTAAAGAACCAATTTATAAATTTAACTTTTTTCTAGCTTAAATATTTCAACATTACTGCAATTAACTTTACCGAGATTGTAGTAATTAATAATGTTATGAAAGATAGATAAGTATTTTAAAAAACAAATGTTTTGTTTAAATTTTTATAAGAAAGAGGAGATTAAATATCACATGAATAATTATTCATTGTTCGTCGTATTCATTTGTGAGTGCGACATCAACTTGCGCGGTGTTAAAACGGCTCGAGGTATATGATTTAATTTAAGTTCGTAAACGAATCGCTATACAAGTGTTACTTTTGCGCCGACTAATGCATTACCACGTAGTACGTCGAAAATGGATGAAAAATAACGCCTTCGAGAAACTGGGGCTGCTAATCTTTTCCCCCTTCCTCTCTCACCCTCTTTCTACTCTATATATTTCTCCCTCTCATCGAGAAAACAGGAACTTAGAGAAAGGAAATTTTCGAAAGAGTCTCCATGAGTCACTTAAACTTTCTCCCTACCGTCTGAATGCGAAGCCGCTCAGTTTTCCGCTCTCCCATCTTTCCGTCGGCTTCGAGTGCAAAAAACGAACGGCAGCGAAAGAAGGTGGAGCACAGTTCGTCGACAAGCGATGGAAACTTCAAAGCCTCATTTCAACAAACTGGATTTCCGTAATAAGCAAGTCCGATGCACGTCCGTGGGCGCTAGTTCGTGCTCACTGAATGTTTTAGCGAAGCTTTTTCCTTACTTTATCTCTTCGTCCTCGACAAATTTCCGCGCCGTTTTAATGCACCGTCGAGCTGTCTCGTGAGCGGTCTCTCTCTATAGAGAATTGGACTTTCCGCACGTTGGAAAGCCGATTAGCACAACCGAAGTCGAACCTGTAATTTACTTGTATCTTTCATGTGCCACGAGAGGTGCGCTTGCATTCACCGCATGTAAATAAATCGGTGTTGTCTTCCAGACCCGGTCTATCTTAAAACTCAAGAACGTCGCCACTTTCGTGCTTCGCTGGGTTCTGAAAGAAGAAAAAGAAATTCGATTACTTACATTACTTTCCTCGAAAGAACGTTAAGTAATTAATATTAAGACTCTCTTCATCCCTAATTCCGTGTCGCGATAATTGATTAATGCTTGCCTCACGATTCAATTGAACTATCCATATGTGTCCCTCATATTTTTTTTACGGGAAATACTTGTGCTTTCGTAATATCAGAGAATTCAATGCACTCGAACGAATTTTATTTCCAGCCGGAATTTGTGAGAATCCCGACATCGGCATTGCTCGTCCGTGACTGTTTCGACGTCCTAAGAAAGACGGTTGAATTCCAGAAGGACTTTCGACGTAGAATTATTCGAGGGCCCTGGGGGAAATCGCGGGAAACTTTCGAGCTACGTGTTTTCCTGTGTACTTGCACTCGGTCACCTGGAGCTTTCCAACGGGGACAATAATCGACGGTCATGGTAGACTCTACCATTATGGGAAGTACAGAAAAAGGAGAACAGAGAATGAATCGAGAGACGAGCAATAGACGGCTGCGAGATAGAAGTCCGCAAATCGAGAGGTACGACGATGGATTTCGCGCGGAAAATATTGCTTTCTTCGTACGTTCGACATCCATAAATGCATAGCAAGATCAACCGATCCGCGTCACCGTCCTCTTTATTCTTCGCCGTGATTTAAGACGCGAGCTCGGCGGATACGGACGGTTTTGAAACTTTCATGAAAAATGATTTACATAATGCGTAAGTCGGTGAATGATCCGCAGAAATGTAGCGTAATATTTTCAATATTAAAATACGCGAAATAATATTGCGTGGTCTTCAGTAGTCTTCAGTAGTTTCAATGCAAACAATGTCTTCCCCGTAATTAAACGATATTCTCTAATTATATATCTCGCAATTAATTCTAAACCTGATCATGACAATAAAGCCAGAAGTGGAGCTTAATAATAGCGAAGGAAAGTCAGATTCGGTGCTCGCTCGCAGAATAGCGGAACATTTCCCAAAATTCACCCTCTACTGGTCATTCGCATTCATAGTTGTCTAAATATGCACAATGTACACAGTTGTCTTGTATAACGAGATCACTTCTCGACAATCACATTCACACGAATATAGTAGTCGAAGTAAGGATGTCGGATACTAACTCGACGCTAATTTATCGTTTGGCGTGATCGATTGTTGCGCTCGATCGACTTCCGTTCTCTGCGGCGAAGAAACGATCTCGCCGCGGAACAAACTGCCAAGCCAAGCTGCTGATCGTAAATCGGATCTGATCTCTCCTTCTTTCGTCTCGATTTGCAGTCCCCCTCCCCTCTCCTTTTTTTTACAATTTATTTACGAGTTTGCGTTTCTGACATCGCGAGCGTTCTCAAAACCATTGGATATTCTATTGTTATTGTCTATCTTTATTTCTTACTTCCTGTTAATTATCAATATCTCCTTTAAGCTTGTATATCACGTGAACGACGTTGTAAGACTGTGAGATCACTGGCGCGTAACAAACGCCGTCTGCCTTCATTCTAAAGATGATAAAGGCACGCTTCGAGAGAATTAACCTCGATTTTTTTTTTTTCATAAAGTAACACTTATTGATCGGATATTTAAAGAAAGTATTCTATGAAATTCGCAATAATATATGTAATTTAAACTGCAAATTCTATATATTAATATTTTGAAACTTAATAATACAAAAGAAAATAGCTCGCAGAAAAAATTATACTGAATAAAAACAAATTAAAATGTACATGTTCCATAGTACCGTTTCCAGATTTTGTCCGATGTACCGAATATACTATCACTTCATGGAATTTCGTGAAATTTCGTTGAAATTTCATCAAAATTAAAACTGCACGTCTCATGTTGAAACGTTATTTCAGAGATTGCATCGCAGCTGGCTCGTACATTAGCATTTATAACCAATTCGCAACGAGAATCGAAAGATAACCAGCGCAAAAGTCGATTACATCACCGTCGGCGACGAAGGGATAGACCTTTATGGGGATGGTTCTCGTAGTGCGGAAAAGCATAGATGGACAGGAGAAAGATGAGAAAAGGCAGGAAAAGAGTGACAGCGGATCGAAAAATGTGCGAGAGAGAAACGAAATGTGAAGAGTAGAGGGACAAGGGAAGAGGCGAAATGCAATTTTTCCGTTCGGCGCTTTTTCCAGCGACAGGGGAACCACCTGTGCTCGTCTCAGCGACTTTTAAATTCGTACCATTGTGGGCTCTATTTGCTGAAAAATGTTTATTCAATTTCGTTTACCGGCACTGCAAGATATTTACCCGGTCGCTTTTGCTCGAACAGTTCTCGCACCACCGCGAACGATGGTATTGGACGCAAGAATACGACGAGGAGAGAGAGAGAGAGAGAGAGAGAGGGAACGGGAACGATCGGCTAACAATAAGTTCACGATGCGTATAAGACCGCATTTTCCTATGCTTCTAGGAAAGCTACATCACGAGAATATTAAAAATACATTTCAGTATTTGAAAAAAAGTTTGTGGATGAATGACGTTGGCCCAGGTGTTGCATCGATTTTAGGTAATAAGTATAAAGTAATATTTGAGATTCATCGCGTAATAGAAATTTGGAGACAAATTGTAGGAATTATACGATGAATTGTATAGAAATCGTGAGTCACGTAGAACATTCGAAAGCTTTCCCCGAGCGACGTACGATTGCATTTCGCGCGGATATAAATCCATAGAATAAATCGGGCGATCTTAATCATTGCGACGAAAATAGGGTCGTACATGCGGGCTGAATTACGATGAGTCGAGAATGAAGTTACGCGAGTATTCTCTCTCGACTCCGCGTCGACTTTGTCCGGTTTTGTGTATCAGCGAACGAGATCGCTGTCGGCGATAGAAATTTATGACAGAGTCGAAACCCTCGAAAATTTCATTAAGCCGTCCGTATAGATATTGAGAATCGACGGCGAACCGATCGAAAATGGAAGTTACTATCACGATACAATACATTTGACGTGACCGCCTAGAATACGCGGAAAAAGTGAGTCTATGTGGTTTATGTACATATATGCGCCAATTAATCACCAAGAACAGCAAATATTTCATAAATGTTTTTAAAAAGGTAATGCAATAAAATTTGTAAAAGATCATTCATTTTTGAAATTGATATTTTAAAGAGATTATTAAAAATACTAATATAATTCGAATACAAATCATTTAATTGCACACAAGATACGTCAGAATTTAATTCTTTCAGCAGCATTTAATAATTCTTTTTTTCAAATGGAAAGGATTAGGTAATATTTTTAACTTTTGCATCGATGATCACGTTCGATTCGTAAAACATTTAAGATGGATAAGTTTTCTCAGATCGGTTTGACCAACAAAGTTGGTCAAGAAAGAAAACCTTCTGTTTAGTAACTTCTCTTAGCGTCCCACGCGGATTACAGTCTTATGTGTTTCAAACTTTTTCCTTAAGGCCGTTCAGGTTAGCCGTACGGTCTTATCTGCGCAAATTGAGCACACCGAGTGTGCAGCGAGGCGACTACAATCTAACCGCGGATAGGAACTATCAGGGAACAAATAACGACGATACATTTTCGCACAGCTGTTCGGTAAACTTCACTGCTACCGCGCTTGATCTGACCAAGTGAGTACCACGACTACTTATGCGCCTCCGATGTGTTCAACACTGATAATGTGGCGTCACCGACGCCACAAAATAAAGTAGGTATCCTGAAATTTCTTGGGATGAGATTCTTGTCTGTAATTTATATGTGAGTATTGTTATTTGCATGTGTGTGTGTGTGTGTGTGTGTGTGTGTACATGATGCAAATTTACACGTCGCAAAAGCCATTTAAAGTCTGCGAGTCCTTTCGCGATTCGGCCTGTTAGGAATCACAGCACGACGCGTCTTGGCTGCCTCCGGTGATACGCGCCTCGATTTTCCGCATCTCGCTCCCAAGTGTACCAGGGTTGTTGCCATGCTCGAGTTTCTCATCGCGGAAACTTGTCGCGCGTGTTTCTATCCGTGCGTCCCCTCGCGAAATTTCTCGTTAAAGACGGCCGGTTTCTTGAGATGCGAAATGAGTAACTTGTCGATAACCACGACGCACTCGTGATTGCGATCCGACTTTTGCATAAACTCCACGTCGTCATGTTGCGTCAATATTTCCGACCTCGTCGCATGAGTGAGCATTTCACTTTGAAGTGTCTTCACCTTTTGCCATCGAGCAATCTGGGAGATTGGACAAGTTTTCACCGATTTCCGCTACGCAACGATTAAGCCTGATAGTTTCTGTAATCATATTTATGTGGATGCTGGAAATTGCATGACACTCTTGGATTTAAAATTTATACTGAAGTTGCATATAACTTCGCGGATTAATGACTAATAATCTTGTCAAATTAAGTAGCTTGAATGTAAGGATGAAGTTTACGTTACTTTAATATTTGATTTGCGAATTACAGTAGACTTGCAAAGTATGAAGCTCCTAAGTACGCGCTATTGTATACTTTGCATAAGTTATCTCATTGAAGCTATTGGCAGACCGATGAGTTGTGAATGAGACGTCGAACGGATTAGAAGTTGGACTTCCATGGAGTTTGCCGTATAATTTTTTACATCAGCGTACCATAGTGTAATTAATACTTGATTATTAAAGAAGAATTTGCCGAATTCTTCTAAAAAAGAAGAACAATTCTCTTGTATCTAAATATTGCAGAAAAGTTGATATAAAGTATACAATTTTGTATCACGTATATATTATGTCAACGTATTGCAAAGTTCAGAATGCGCGCATGTTCGACCCCCATTTCCGGGCTGCACTATCGGGTAAGTGACGTAACGTCGAAGCAACGAAGTTCCTCCAATAAAGCTTTAAACGCGTCTCGCTGATCCATAAATTAACTTTGGCAATAGCACTTCGTCGCGAGTACGAGAGAACCCACGTTATTATCGAATGAACTTTCCAGCTTAGCCGTTGCCCGATGCGATTACTTCCTGTCCGCGCGCGGTTACGATTCTATTCGAGTTCAGC